TAATAAAGTAATATTATAATAAAGTAACTTAATAAAGACTCTTTACTACAGACCTTTATAATAAAGTAATTCTGTATTATTAGCATAAGCACTATAGCGCTATAGACAGACACTATAAATTTTATAATTCTATACAAGATTAGTAGAGACAGATTCTATACAGATTTATAAGGGCTAGAAGATAAATAAAAGATTTACAAAAGAGTATATATAAATTAAGATTATAAAAGAACAAAATTAGTATAAGTACCTAAGGGTTTGTAACAGGGCGAAATTATATAAGTAAATAAGGATTTATAAGAAGCATAAGTGAATCAAGTATTTTGTAAAAGGCTTAGAGCAAATATAAAGCTAACAGAAGAGAATGCTGCTGTGGATTAGAGGAGCGAGTTCTGTAATATAGGCGTATAGTAAGACTCCTAATTAATTATCTATTGATTAGGGGTAATCAATATTTTAGAAGAGAGGATAGTATAATAAAAGTGCCTACAGCTTGCCTATAAAGATTACTTATAACATGATTAAGAGTATCATAAATTATATAATTATTCTTAGCGTAATTAGGGTATATATAGATAGTACATTTATATATTATACATAGATTCCTTAGCTTTCGTTTTAGTAATTTATAAATTATTAATTTGTTTTAGTTCTAAGCTATTACAAGATAATATTAATTATAAGCTTCAGAAATAAGGCTGCCTTACTCTTTGCTAAATTAGTCAAGTTTAAGTAGCTAATAATAATAAATAAAATGTCTTTAGTAACCTTAGACTTTATTCGGATAATCTTAAGTCTATTCTTAGTTATCTTCTTTTATATCTCTGTAATTAAGCAGCCGTCTTCTTAAGAGTAGTTATAAATACTCTGCCTTAGTACTATCTATTTAATTATAAGCTACGCTTTAATAAGGAACTAAAGATAAAGGCGTCACATCTATATAAGATATTAACTTGAGAGCTTATAGCTATAAGAGAATATCTAATAAAGAACTTACGTAAAGGATTCATTCGCCTATCATCTTCCTCTTTCTTATTACTTATTTTATTTATTAAGAAGAAGAATAGAGACCTTAGATTTTATATTAATTACAGAAGTCTAAATAAACTTACAAAGAAAGATAGATATCCTTTGCCTCTAATCTCTAAGACCCTGTTACAGTTAGCTTATATAATAATCTTTATAAAGCTTAATATCTATTATATATTTAATTATATTAGAATAGATCTTAACTTAATTTATTAGGCGTTATTCTAAATAATCTATAAAGCTTTTAAGCTAATAGTCCTTCCCTTTAGTCTTTATAATAGTCTAGCTACCTTTTAATATTATAAAAAGTGCGCGGGTCGCTTGTATACACGGGTTGCTTATGAACCACGTTATACTATATTCTTAAGATATATTATTATAAACTATAATATAAAGATTAACTTAAGTAAGACTAAGGTTATTTATAATTAAGAACCTCTTATAATAAGAAGAGGCGTATAGTTATTTCTTAGGTTCTGTAATTTCTATTAAATATTTATTAAAGGATATAGGCGTATTACTAAGCTATTTAGTAATCTAATAAGAAAGGATGCTATACTAAAGTTCTAGTTAAATAAGGTCTAACTTAACACTTTTTAAACATTATAATATAAGCTACTCTCTCCTTTTATCTTTACGTACTTTAAGTTAGAATATAAGACTTAAATAAAGACAGATTACTCTAATAAAGCTGTAACTAATATATTAATATAACTTAATTCTATTAACTTATAATAGTATTATATTACTTTCTTCTTTATTATACTTAAAGGAATAGAATGCTACTATAAGATTTATAATAAAGAGATGTTTATAATTATTTTAGCTCTTAAAGAATAATAAGCTAAACTGATTAGCTTTAATATATTCCTTATTATAATAGATTATAAGGCGCTCAAGTATTTTAGTATTAAACGCCTTCTTAACAAGTAACAAATTTAATAGATAGATGTTCTTTTAGAGTTTAACTATTATATTTACTACTGACCTAATAAGGAAAATGTTGTGGCAGATGTCCTCTTACGTAAGAATGAAGCTACCCTAACACAGAAGGAAGCTAGGACGTAAGAGAAGACTCGGATGTTATTAGATCTAATAAGAATAAAGGTAACTACTATAAAGGACATTAAGAGTCTTAACGTTATAGCAAAAGTCATTAAGGAGAACTAAAAGAGCCTAACTTTAATAAAAGAATGTTAGCTAGTTATAACAGGATTAAATAAGTAGTTATTAAGAGATAACTTACTATTATATAATAATAGACTTGTAATACTAGAAAGCAAGAATAATCTATATATATACTTGCTTTACTAGATTTACTTATAAATAATTATAGCATATTTAGATTAGGTAAAAACGTATGCTTTAATAACTAGGCTATATTAGTAGCCTTATTAAAGTAGTAATATAGCACGTTATATTACTAACTATTATAAATGTTATTAATCCTATAAGCTATATAATAAGATGCCTAATTTTTTATACTCTTTATTTATCCTTCTGTAATTATAAGACGATCTCTTAATAGATTTCTATATATCTAATATTATTAGTAATAATTATAATGCTATTTTTATAGTAGTAGATTACTTAAGCAAGAGATATATTTGCTTACTAATAAAGAAGACTACTACTACAGTTATTATAGCTAACCTTTTCTATAGATATATATAGCAATTTAAAGAATGCCTAAAGATTATTACTAGTAATAAAGAGCCGTAGTTTATTAGCGTATTTCTTAATAAGCTATCTCGCCTTTATTATATTAAGCTTAAGTTATTAATATTAGCTTACCCTTAGACGGACAGCTAAACAGGAATTATTAATTAGATTATTAATATAAGGCTTTAACTATTTATAAACTACTTCTAAAATAACTAAGCATATCTTTTGCTAGTATTAGATGCTGCAGAGTCAGCTCTAGTTTATAAATCCACAGGACTCACACCTTACATAATTAAGTACGGCCAAAAACCTCACTTAGATTTTGACTAGACGCAGATAAGTGACAACTCATGCCAGGACGCGCAAGAACAAGTTACTTAAGAGCAAGTAAGGGAGCACCTACGCTGTATTAACAAGGCAGTGAGCTGGGCTAGAATAAATATGACCTCAGCTCAAGCTTAGCATGCTCATCAAGCCAACAAGAAACGTTGCTCACCTGATTTCTAATCAGGAGACCTTATATTCGTCATTAAGAAGCTGTGGAGAACAGATAGGCCCTCTGACAAGCTGGACTATCCTGTCGCAGGCCCCTTTCATATTATAGAGATGATTAGCCACTTCTATAAGCTAGAGCTCCTGTCCTCTTATCGTATCTCGCTAGTACTACACACAGACCGGCTACATAAGGCAGATAACAATCCTCTCCCTGGCCAGATCCCTACTCTACCTTCTGCAGTTGAAGTCGACGGAGATCTCGAGTAGGAAGTTAAGAGAATTCTGTCGTCAAGAATTAGCAGAGGTCGGCTGGAATAAAGATACAATGGCAAGGATGGGACCCTGATGATACATGGTACGACTGGTTCACAGCGTTGGCGATCTACGTCACATGCCTGGTGGGAACGAGGCTGGTTGACTTGCCCATTGCACTGGAGATTTGAAGAAGTGCTTGGGTGCACAAAACGTCCTGTAAGCAGTCCGTTGATGGATAGACCTCGATATCACCTCAGAGGTCATGATGCGCAACAAGCCTGGTTCGTCTATGCAGAAGACGTACGATGAATGCTATCTGATATGTTCGACTGCCGTTTATTTCGAGGGACAGGTAGACGACCTCACCACTACACTGAAAATCTAGCCGCTGAGATTTGTACTAGAATAACGAAGCTGAAGCATTGCGGTCATGGCGCTCAGCCCTCGACCAGATATACTATCATAACGCTAGCGCTAGGGCGCCGGGTATTGATTAGCACTAGACGTTAGTAAGGGGCATGCTTGCTATATAGAAGCGACCCCAGGGCCCTCACCGTCGACTCTTCAGTCTTAGGATAGCACTCAACATGGGCTGAACATCTCGCGCACTCGTCGCCTGCTTCCAACGTGACACGTGACATTCTCTATTCTCCATTCTCCGTACCAGTCTTCGAACTAGTACATTCTTCGTACCAGTCCACATACTAAGAATATCAGATGTCATTGCAGACTGTCCCTATGCACTTATACGACCTAAGCAGTTCGATTAGTAGGGACTTCCTCCTTTCTTGGAAGTGGTAGAAAGCCCAATTTACCTGTTCCACATCTTCAATTGTGAGCTTCCGAAGGTAGCACCTAGATCCTCTCCTGCTCCCACTTTCAATTTGTCCAATGCTGCCTGATACTCCTTGCTGGTAAGCCCTTGAATGTAGCATTGGAGTCGTGCAAGGGGCTTCGACTTCATGAATATCTGCTGCAGAGATGTGTAACTCTGGCCAAGCGGCAGACCAGCAAAGAAAACCATAGAGTGCCTCGCGGGTCTACCACAAAGGGGTGACTAATGACGATATCAATAAATGCATTGAACGTAGACAGTGGACATAATTGCACGCGGTGCAAAGTTGCATGTATAATGCTTTTTGTGCTTCTCTCGAAAGCTTTTCTGGACACTCGATCAGTGGCAACTTCTCATCTCAATATGTCGAACGGCAGAATACCCAAAGTTAACACCCCATGTATTGGGCCCAAAAGGAACCTCAATCCACTCCTTTCCGCTTCGTAGATGAACCTGCAACCCCGGTTCATCAATCTCTTGCACAAACGTCAACCATCCGCTCTCATCTTGGTGAGCTCCCACGCCTTGCTTCGTTTTCCATGTACCTGCGAACTCATTTTCGGGGATGTACTTGATGAGTTTTAGACGGTGCAATGCGTCCGGCGTGTCGAGTTTTCGCAAGGCTTTGATGGGAAGATCAAGAGCGATCTCTAACTGCTCCATCACCTTGAGGTACACTTTTCGCATATGGCACATATACTGTTCAACAGTCAAGCGAAAATCCTCGCCAATAATTGACGGATCTGGCCACTGTTGAGGGTAAGTACACGTACTGCCAATGCCAACTGTATATAGTAAAGTGTGGTTCCGTACCTGATTACAGCCTGTCAATAGCCCGTACTCGGTATGTCGTTGGCCCGGATATGCCTGCGCTGCTTGGTTGCTCTCCAGCACAAAATCGAAAACCTGAAAGATTTTATTGGTTCAAGCCTACCACCAAAATGATATTTAGCACAACCAACCTCACGGTTGTCTACGTGGTCATTCGTTAACTCATCGCCACGGCCAGTAAAGCCCAAGAAATGCTTTGAATTGGCCATGGACATTGCACTCTTGACCTCTGGAGGCCAGGCGAAAGCATCCAACGTCATGTCGCACATACGGTCATGCAACTCCTTGCAACACAAGTCAGCGCATGCAAGAAATCCGCAGCATTTGGTTGGAACTCACGCTCGGGAAGGATTGGTCTTGGATTCGCAAGAAGTGGGTTGCTAAACCAGCTTGGAATGCCTCAATGAGAGCATCATTAGCCACCATCTCACGGCTATCGTCTAGGGTAATATCGACGACCTGGCACGACTCCATTGTTTTAAAGTGCTAATCTTTTGGATCTCGCTCGCTGTAAAGGCGGGGCTTTGGTAAGCGAAGGTAAGACTAAGAAATCACACGGACGCTCGCAAACAGTTTTATAATCTCTCTGGCAAGCTTCTTCACAGGTTCTCTAGTATTGATAAGTCGCTGAATATCCGTCGAGCATATTCCTTATGCTCCTTTTTTTCAGTGATAATCGTGCACTAGGGCAAATTATAGGGAACTCACAGCGCAATCACAGGCGAGGGTTGATGCACTGGTGCCACGTCCCACCGATTCCAGTATTTGAGGCTCTTAATTGTAACCTCCACACTAACTTTAAGTTCGGATGGGCGCATTAAGCATCCAATTCGGCGACCGCAACTTTGTCCAAATTGCATCCTTGCTGAATTGAGCATCGTCGCTGCACAATAATCTCATTCCACGAATGAACCCAATCAACGTGGCAGCATCATGCGTGCCTGGTGCGGGGGACTCTTCCTAGTGCTGGCTTCATTGTCTGGGAAGTTCCACAGCTATTTCAATATAAAATATAATATAAAGTTTTACAGAAAATTCCACTAAAAATAAACTAAAAATTTACAGATTATACACAGAGTGTTGAAGTTCTCACTCTGTTGTGTTGTGCATACTCCTATCTAGATTTTCTAGTAGCTACCTAATAGGGATTTCCTGTGCCAAGGCACAGGAAATCAGGACACGTGATATGTCAGAGTGGCGCTAAGCCGCTTTGGGATTTGGCTGTACATGTACAGCCCTGCAAGGAGGTTGTTAGCCATACGGCCGTACCAGCGTTAAGCTGTGTTGCTCGACACAGAGCTATTAAGATATTGTGACAGTTGTGGCTAACAAAGTGTATATTAGATAAATGATCCCTTATAGATTCTGCATTATTCTATATATTGTCACGTGTCACGTTGGAAGCAGGCGACGAGTTCGCGAGATCTTCAGCCCATGTTGAGTGCTATCCTAAGACTGCAGAGCCGACGAGGATGGCACTGGGGTCGCTCCTATATAGCGAGCATGCCCCTTACTAACGCGTAGTGCCAATCAATACCCGGCGGCCCTAGCGCTAGCGGCCGACAAGCATGGCAGCCGTGACATATATCTTCTTCGTTGTTCTACGCATTAAAGGGCTCAAGAGGATCCTCTACTACTTATATGCTTCTTCTTGTATATAGATTCTAGTTCTTTGCGCTCAATAAGTCAATCCATTGACCCCTTACTATTCTATTGCCCTTGCACTCCCCTGAG